TTCACGTGGTGCTTGGCTGAAAAGGCATTGAAAGATCTGAACTCATGTGAGAAAATGAAGTACGTTTCTCGTATTGTTTGGGAAATTGGCGGCGATCTATTGAGTCGTAGAGGCATTTCTGATAAATTCTCTTTTTCGTCTAATAATTTTGCAATTTTGCAATGATCTGATTCTAAAATCTATTTTGTTCTAAATCTAAGTTAGTTAAGGTCTTGTTTGAGACTTTTCGTCGCACCAGAGGAGTAGAGTAATTCCAGAGAAGGTACACCGTTTGTTCATCTTGCTATCTTATTTTCGGCCGGCTAGAATCGTGCAACATCTTAGTCTAATACCGATCTTAATCTTACTCTCATATCTCCTAGTCTCAAAAGATCTGGTGTATACTGGTTTATGCGAGTTAGTTTCCAGAAAGAGAACAACTGTATTCTAAGTTTAATTCAAACTGCTCTGTTGCTGAAACTAAATGTTAGAGATGGAATACTATTGGTTAGTCTAGGAATATTTTACAGAAATAGATAATTATTTTTATAACCATTATTCAACTCTAGTTTAGAACTAGTTCCAATTGGAAACTTTCATAAAAAAAGATTAGCTAAGGCGAGCTATAAAAATGTAAAAATCTGAAACCATTTAGGTAGCTTAAAAATGCTAAGAGTAAGGTATCGAACGCTGATATTGATATAACTTTCAAACTGTAGCTTGACTCCAATAGCCGAAATTTTCCAGCTAACTAAGACCATTAGAATTCTGGAAACTTTTACTTTCCATTATTAGCTCAATTCTAACCATAATTTTTCTCAGACCTGGTTTTTGAAAGACAAAGTTAGAATTAACACATGTGGTTTTTACAGCATGAGCTGATTCAAAATAGTAATACTAACTGCAAGCAACTCTATTGGTTTATTTGGAAATTTTTCACGTTATTTCAAATTGTTTTTTCATATTTAGATTTGCAAAAAATTAATTTGGGCAAAGTATTGAAAATTTGAAATTATGAAAAATTTCACTTTGTTTCATTTAAATCCAACTTTTCCAAAAAAAATTTTCAGAGCAAGCTTACAACCATCTTAGAAAATCTCAATTGAAAATATTTTGAATTGGTTGAAATTACAACAAAACTGCTCGGAAAGGAATTTTTTTGAGAAAACAACAGAAAAATTATCCATTTTTGAAATGATCAAATGAATTCACAATTTGCGTATTTTTCTCAAAGAGAACAAGATCTACCACACTTTTTACAATTAACCGCAAAATATCTAAATTGAAGGTAAATTCTTTTTTTTGAGTAATTTTTGTTGGAGAAAAGTTAATCAAAGAACATATGATGATATTCGGACCATCTGGGGTAAGGTTTCTTAGAAACTTCGAATGAATTCATTTATAATTTTGTTATTTTTTGTCTTTGGTTTTGTTTTTTATTTATTCTACTTGTTACCAGCTGTTATTGAAAAAAAAACAAATAAAAATAAATCAAATTGGCATTTAAACTAAGGATGCAAAAAATTTCAAAGAGTTTCACTGGTGAATAAACAGTTGTCGTCCAGAATAACCGAAAATTTTTTTTCGCTTTCAATTAAAACTTTACTTTCTATTTATAATTTCCAAAGAACGATTCGAAACAAAATATTCAACTTAATTTTGGATCATTAACACTGTCAACAATCATCTCGTGTGTTTTTATCTCTTGCTATTCAATAGAGTCTGTTAAAATTAGACATTAATTTGATATAATTCCATCGTTACGATCTAAATATGACCTAACGTTACTACGAGCGTCTTTGATGCGTATGACTATCAAGAACTTTGTACAGCTTAATAGAAAGCCGAAAAAATTTAACAAAACGGTTTCTCCATGGGTTTTATTTGTTGCAAACAATGTAATATTTTACTCGAACACTAATTTGCGCAGCATAAAGCTTTCCTTTGGAAAAATGTTCTCAGGGTTCTTTTTGACGGCATACCTATTAGTTTTAAAAATCTACTTTTTCCTGTAAATTCGCAATATAATAATGACTCATTGTTAACATGGTTTTCTACTCTGAATCAGAATTTCAATTTTCCTTATCTTCAGTATATTAGTGCATTGTGCATTCATGTTGCTTAAAAATCTCAATTTAGTGCATTTGGTTTTTTTGGAACTAGATATTATCAAAATTTCTATAAAAAGTCAGCAAAATATGGTTTTAGTGAGCTCATGGTAGGAGCCTTCCATTAACAATATGTTTGTGTTTAGATTATTTTTCTTGCTTATGTCAATTATTTGGCTCGAAAGAAACTTAAAATCTTTAAAGTATTGTAATTCTCAAAATAGTTTGAAGTTTTTCTGATTATTTTTAGTCCATTTATGGTCTCAATGCTCCATTATTATTGCTTTTGTTTGTAGATTTAACTTGTTGCTTATGTCTCAAATTAAGGCCTCATGGTTTTGCAACAGAAAATCATCAGGAGGTTTCTAAAATTTTCAAGCAAAACTGAACTGTTTGATGATTTGTTTAAATTTTTGCACTTGTTTTCAGTTTAAGCGTCTCAAAAAATCTTTGTACTTTGCTTGAGCTTCGTAGCAAATGATATAACTTTTTGACTCAAAAACTAAATTGCGCTCATAAAGCTTAATAATTACTAAGGAATAAATCTGCGTTTTTAAGGACGCCTTTCAATTTTTACCTATTAGCTTTTGTGATTTTTGTTTCTTCACATCAGTAATTGAAAAGTACAAAAAAAGTTCTGTTTTTTTTTCTTGCGTCGAAATATCTGCCGTGTTCAAGAGTAGCTTTAAGTTCGTTGTTCAGTTTGGAAAAAAAATTGTTTTTGCAAATTATTTCTTAGTGATAGTAATCCTGACACCTGAAAAATCAACATGATTGATTTTTACTCGTATTTTAAAGGAATGAGAGATTATTTGATATAATTGTAGCTAGCGCAAATTATCTTAGTTATAGACTTACTGGTGAAAAAACAGTTGTCACCGAAAACAACTTAACAATTTTTTACAAGGGTTTCTACACAAGGCTGGGACACTTGTTTTTGAGGTACTCTGCTGCTGCATATTTCCACTCGAGCGAGATTAAGATAAAGTCTTGGACGACCGAGTCTAAGAAGATAAGGGTTTCGATGCCGCCGAGTTGGGATGAACGAGTAGTAAGCAAAGTGCTTGAGAGGGCTGGGTTCGAGAAAAAGTTCCAATAAATGATGACGGCTAAATAAGAGTGGAGGAAGGACAACTGAGCTTGATGGCGAAGTCAAGATGCAGCGCGAGGAATAATTTGGCGCCCCGTGGACTGGAAGAGGTGGTGCTACAACATGAGGGATGTAGACTCGATGCGGTTTGCGCTGTTTCTGTGCCCCTCATGGAGTATATTCAGCCGAACCCAGTCGATATTATCTATGTCGATTGGCACTCTTAGAGTGGAAATTTCCCAGTGGGGAACAGATTTGTGAATGATTTGAAAAGAGAACATGCAACCGAAGTGATCGAAGGGGAGAGAAAGGAAGAAGCTCTCAGTGACGCGGAGGAGGACATACACTCGGGGGCGACCCCGGCTGAAGAAGCAGTGCTCCAGGACTTGAGTGGCGAAGTATGGGGGATACAGCGACGCCACCACTGGAATGTCCACGAAAGAATCTACAGTTACAGCTTGGGATTCAACCAATGGACATGAGCATGGTGTTCTTGAGCAATTATAGCGAGGAGAAGAACACCATTGAGAAAAAAACGATGTTCTTGAATACTCTGGATCAAGAAGGATGGCAAAATTTTTGCTGGAGTTTAATCAGAATGTGAAGCGGAACGGTGATGTTGAAGAGTTCAAGAAGGAACTATAGGACACAGTGGTGGCATTCGGAGAGCCTATTGAAATTGGACTGGAGGTGGGGAGGGAGAGAATGTGCCTAGCAAGATGGTCCATATCGGAGAAAAGAGGACAAACAGCGAACCCAAACTCAACGCAGCTTTAAAGACAGGTTTACTCTGAGAAGGAAATTTAAGAACAAAATGAGTGATAGAGATAAATATATTATTATAGCTAAAAATAATATTTTACCTAAGTCTAGAGAAGGAAAAAATATGTTTGAGGCAAATAAACAGCGTAGGAAAGGGTCAGGAGAAGAGGGCATGGAAAAACTAGCCGCTTCAGTGATGATCGTATCTACAGCCCCGAACAAGGAGTCAAGGTCAAGGAAGAGGAAGCGAGAGATGGAGAAAGGGAGTGCTTCAGCGCTTTTCGAGGTGTACTCCCTTCGATTGGGGAAAAGCGCTGCAAACAAAAACGTACACCAGGGGAGTGTGGGAAGGAACGACTTACCCAGCCAAGGCAAAGAAGTCAGACACCCCCCCTCCTATCAAACACCACGGGGACCAGCCGACTCCAGTGGGAAAACAAAGGCGATCAATGGTTCTCGTACGAGCACCATTCTCATGTCTGGCGGGTTTTTGGCAGCTGGACCGGGTAAACCTGCATACTGGGTCCAGCTTTTGTTGAGGGCAGGAGACGTGGAACGAAACCCAGGTCCTGAAACATACGTATGTCCGATCTGTGGGAAGGAAATCAAGGATAGGCGGCAGATAAGCGTGTGGTGTCATTTAGGGGGGTATGTCCACATGAAATGCACAAGCTTGCGGAGTATCAAGGGATACTCAGATGAGTTTGTATGCGACCGGTGCTCCTGGTGTAAAGGAGAGGGAGGAAAGCGAGAGATAAGGGAAAGAAGACGAACAGAAAAACGGAAACGTAGGGAGAAGGTGCAAAAGACCAGAGCAGAAAAAAGGGAAAAGGAAGCAAAGACGAAGGTGAAAGGTAAAGCAACAAGGGTATGGACGTGGAACATACAGGGGGCGAGATTCTCGTTCCCTAGACGGAATCGTTTTGCAGAAATCCTAAGATGTATAAGCAAGAGTAACGCGGAAGTGGTATTACTGTCCGAACTGAGGGAAAAGGAGGAAGGAATGAAATGGATTAAAGCAAAAGACACGGCAAAAGAAGCGGGATAACACTCCCAGACGAATGGGCGCTAGATTGGAGAGACCAAGGATGCAAGAGGACATGCGGGACAGGAGTTCGGCAGTAGAGGTCAACCAAATCAAGTTTGTAGCGACATACCAGCCCCTTTGGAATAGCGATAGACGGGATTTCGATGCGTATAGAGAAGAGCTAAACGAAATGATTAGATGTGGCGCAAAAAAGCTAGTACTAGGAGGAGACTTCAACTCCAGTGTAGGGGACACCTCCCAGAGGGAAGAAGATGACGCGGTAGGACCATTCGGACTGGGTAGGACCAACGCGGCGGGGAGGGACCTAATAGAATGGTTTCACGAACAGGGGTTAACCTGGACTAGCTCCTTCTTTAGGCACAACAGAAAGGGAACCTGGAAGTGCCCAGGAAGAAGAACATGGCACGAAATTGACGGATTCATGGTGAAGAAAAAAGACCGGAGCAGGGTAGTGAAGAGTAAAAACACGGTAATAGCGGGTACATCTCTATCGGACCACAGGCCGAAATGCATGGAGGTCTGGAGAAGGAAGGGGGCGAAGGCCAATAGGCAAAATGAGACTCAAAGGAAAATAAACTGGGAAGCTCTTCGAGATGGATCAATCCGGCAAGCATTCGCATCGACAGTAGACGGTCAAAGAGAGCAACAGGGTACGGGTGAGGAAAGTGAACGCCTAATCAACTTGATTAATGAAGCGGGTACAGAAGTGTGCGGATTTAAAGAAAAGAAAGCACTGAGTCCATGGCTGGATACGCATTTAGAAGAAATACAGGGGTTCAAACGGAGGATCGCGGCACTTACGAAGAGTTTTGAACGAACACGAACGGAAAACTTTAAAATACAAAGGCAGGAGGTCAGGAAAGAGTACAAGAAGGCTCAAAGAAGATGGGAAGAAGAGTGGTGGCTTAAACTGGTAGACGAAACAAAGGACGCCGAAGTGAAAGGGGATATAGGACGCATGTACAAGACACTAAGGTACTTAGGGGGGAAAGACCTCCAGAACATAGAAGAAGAATTTTTCTCGCCAGAAGAGTTCAGACGACACTTCATGAAAGTCTCGGAAGACAGATACGAGCGGGACGTCATAGAGATAATGAGAACGGCATCGTCAACAGAAATTAAGGACTCTCCAGAGGCACAGGCAGCAGCGGAAGAGATAGAAGAAGCAATAACCTTCGTGGAATTCGAACGAGAACTGGCGAACATGAAAGACGGAGCGGCAGGAGTAGACAATGTAAGTGTTAGCGCAGTGAAAGCCTTAAGTATAGACACCCGGAAAGAACTATACCAATGCATGATGGAACAATTAGCCACACCGGTTGAGAACTGGGCCGACAAAGCTAAGGAAGGATGGGTCATACCCCTACATAAGAAAGGAGCTAGAAATGAACTAGACAACTACAGGGGTGTGTGCCTACTCCCGGTGTTGAGCAGGATAATGGCAAGGATACTAGCGAGTAGGATTAGAAAATGGGCGGAGAAGATAGAGGCATGTGGTGAGAATCAAAATGGTTTCAGAGAAGGACGATCGACGTGTGACGCAACGCAAATCATACTGAGAATAGATGAGGAAACAAGGAGGGTATTTGGGAAGGCGGAGACGACCGGGAACAGACCGGGAGCTGTACTGTTAGATATAACAAAAGCATACCCCCGAGTCAACAGGCCCTTATTGTGGATGGTTTTGGAAAACTTAGGAATGACAGATGGTGTGATAGAGGTCTTGAAAAACCTACATGAAGGAATGAAATACAAAGTTAAGTGTCGAGGGGAACTAAGCGAGGAATGGTTACCGGTACAAGGTTTACGGGAGGGTTGCGCTACATCTCCGATACTTTTCAATGTGTATCACGCACAGGCGATGCGGTTAGCTGCCAAAAAACGAAGAGAAAAAGCGGCGGAGATAGGCGAAGAGTGCGGTTTAGAATGGTCGTGGGGACCAGGTAATTGTCTCCCTCCAATAGAAGTAAAGAGGGCCTTAAGGAGCAGCACCCAGGAAGTCTTTCGATTAGAAGAGTCCCTTTTCGCAGACGACTCAAATCTCCTGGGCTGGACGGAAGAATTAGCGGTCGGCAAAGAAACGGTCAAGGCGGAATTGATGAAGTTCGAGGAAAAATGTCACAACGGAAAAGAGGAATACATAGCTTTTGGAAGCGAGACAGCGAATTGTACGAGGATGTTAGGGACGCTAATAGGGAGGAAGCAGGACAGGGCAGCGAGGATTAAAAGGGGATACTGGGCGTGGTCAAAAGTAAGAAGATGGTTGTGGAAAGCAAAGGTAAGTAAACGAACGAAGGCAATTATTGTACAGGCAGTGGTCGAATCAACAATGCTCTTTGACTGCAGTGCAAGAGCATGGACAGTGACTGATATGGCGAAGATGCAGAGCATGGCGGATAAATGCTACCGGTGGATATGGAATGAGGGGAGAGGTTTAACACTCTTGCGAATGGAAAGAGAGGGGGTCAATAGTTTCGAGATACGCAGGGTTCTGGGGATAACATCTATCAGAACAAAAATAGAGACGCGGGCGTTGGAAAGGATGGGCCACGTCCTTCGGATGAGCAAGAACAGGACAACTAAAAAAGTGATACTAGGGCACTGGACAAACGAGCGAACACAACATGGTAGGTTAAATGGAGGCGTGGATAATTACTGGAGGCGACTCATAAGGGAAGCGGGAGAGGACTGGACGATTATAGAAAATTTAACACAGGACCGTAAAAAAAGGAAGGCGACAGTGAAAAGGAGAAAAGAAGCGCTAGAGAAATGGAAGAGTGAAATGTGCAGATACAGGGGAGGGGAGAAACCTAGAAGGAGCCGAGCGAGGTATCAGGGAGAAAACTTAACATGCAGGTGGGAGGTATGCGGACGAATTTGTAAAACGAAAGGAGGTCTAGTGGAGCATGAACGACGAGTTCACAGGATACAGGAGATGGTGTTTAAATGCGATAGATGCAACAGAACTTTCGCGGAGAAGCACAACTTAACAAACCACAGCAAGAGCTGTAAGGGGGACCAGATGGGTAGGTGTCTGGACCGCGCGGTGACGGTAACAAGGGGTAATATGGCGAGTCATAGGAGGAGTTGCGGAGGAGGGAGTGGAACGGTAGGGAACACGGCAGCAAGGGAGAAGGGAGGTAACAGGTACACGGGGACCAGGGGGAGGAAAGAGTGTGGATCCTGCGGAGCCTGGATCACTGCTAATAACCTAGCCAGACATGAGAGGAAGTGCCAGAAATAACCACCCAAGGCCCCCCGAGGGGCGTAAATGGGAAACAGAACAGAACAGAACAGAGTTCTTCAGCGGAGGCGGTGTCGGAGGCGAAACTGAAGGAGACACCTCCGATGGTTTTAGCAAGATGGAAGACTGCAGCTTAACAAGTCAACTTGACATCTAGGAAGCTAGGAGATGACGGCTGATATAAAAGCTGCGCCTGGTCCCGTGACAGAAGGGGACTTTAAGGCACAGAGGGTAAAGTTGAAGAGATGTTCCACCAGTGTGCAATTATGAGAGGTGGATGTCCGCAAGGAATGGGTTTCGAATGAACACCAGAGCGTCAGGCAACAAATCAAAAATGATCACGTGAGTCCATTGAGAAGGGACTCACGAGGAAAACTTTTCGTTCCTGATGGATAGACCTCGATACAACGAGAGAGAGCTAGAGAAATGTCTCAAGAAGCTGCACCGGTGATTAGCCAGAAAGCGTCGAAGTTGGGCCAAGCAGCAGAAAAAAAGCAGAAGTGAATAAGATGGAGTAGAGGAGCCAAATAGGGCGAACGTGGGAGAAAATGGTGCTGGAGTACTTCGAGAACGAGATGAGGGCACCCCAATCTGCCCAAATCCTGATGGCAGACCCTTTCACACGGACTGAGCGTCAGTTTTTGTTCACGTGGTGCTTGGCTGGACTTGCATTGGAAGATCTGAACTCATGTGACAAAGGGAAATTCGGGGACAAAAGCTTGTATGTGTACCAGATGCTGATGCAGTATGTTGCTTCATGCAGCATTTGAGTCAATACCAGAGCGTCGAGCAACAAATCACAAATGATCCTCTTGAGAAGGTATTCACGAGGAACACTGCTCTTACCTGGTGGATAGCCCTGGATACGATAAAAATTCTAAAGATTTATCTGAAGAAGCTGGACTGCGGAGTATCCAGAAATAGTCGAAATTGTGCCGAACAGCAGAAAGCAGAGGTTAATAACTTGGAGTTGAGGAGCTAACTAGGGCGAATGTGGGAGAAATTGCTGCTGGAGTACTCCGAAACAAGAAGAGGCCACCCTCATCTGCCCAGCCTCTGATGGCGAACATTTTCACCCAGACTGAGCGTCAGTTATAGTTCACGTGGTGCTTGGCTAAAGTCGCATTGAAAGAACTGAACTCATGTGAGAAAACTAAGTGTGGAGACAAAAGCCTGCATGTGTACCAGATAATGATGCAATATGTTGCTTCATGCAGCACTTGAGTCAACAGCAGAGCGTCGGGCAACAAATCAAAAATGATCCTCTTGAGAAGGGATTCACGAGGAACACTGCTCGTTCCTTGTGGTTAGCCCTGGATACGATGGAAAAGCTAGAGAATTGTATAAAGAAGATGCACAGCGGAGTGTCCAGAAAGCGTCGAAACTGGGCCAAGCAGCAGAAAGCAGAGGTGAATAAGTTGGAGTTGAGGAGCCAACTAGGGCGAACGTGGGAGAAATTGGTGCTGGAGTACTTCGAGAACAAGATGAGGTTATACCTGATCTGCCCAACCTCTGATGGGGAACCCTTTCACCCGGAATGAGGGTCAGTTAATGTTCACGCGGTGTTCGGCTGAAGCTGCCTTGAAAGATCTGAACTCATGTGTCAAAATGAAGTTCGGGGACAAAACTTGCATGTGTACCGGATGATGAAGCAATATGTTGCTTCATGCAGCGTTTGAGTCAACACCAGAGCGTTGTGCAACAAATCACAAATGATCCTATTGGGAAGGGATTCACAAGGAACACTGCTCGTTCCTGGTAGATAGCCCTGGATCCGATTGAAAAGCTAGAGATTTGTCTAAAGAAGCTGGACTGCGGAGTATCCAGAAATAGTCGAAATTGTGCCGAACAGCAGAAAGGAGATGTGAATAAGTTGGTGTTGAGGAGCCAACTAAGGCGAACGTCGGAGATATTGCTGCTGGAGTACTTCGAGAACGAGATGAGGCCACCCTCATCTTCCCAACTCCTGATGGCGAACTGTTTCACCCGGACAAAAGTTCGTATGAGTGCCGGATGATGATGCAGTATGTTGCTTCGTGCACAAAAGTTCGTATGTGTGACGGATGACGATGCAGTATGTTGCTTCATGCAGCACTTGAGTCAACACCACAGCGTCGGGCAACAACTCACAAATGATCCCCTTGAGAAGAGACTCACAATGAACACTACTCGTTCCTGGCGGATAGCCCTGGATACGATGAAAGAACTAGAGAAGTACGCGGACAAAAGCCTGCATGTGTACCAGATAATGATGCATTATGTTGTTTCATGCAACACTTGAGTCCACACCAGAGCTTCGGACATTAAATCACAAAAGGTTTCCTTGAGAAGAGACTCACGAGGAACACTACTTGTTCCTGGTGGATAACCCTGGATACGATGAAAGAGCTAGAGAAAAGTCTACAGCAGCTGGAACGCGGAGTATCCAAAAAGCGTCGAAAATAGGCCAAGCAGCAGAAAGCAGAGGTGAATATGTTGGATTTGAGGAGCCAACTAGGGCGAACGTGGGAGAAGTTGCTGCTGGAGTACTTCGAGAACGAGATGAGCGCAGCCTCATCTGCCCAACTCCTGATGGCGAACCGTTTCACCCTGACTGAGCGTCGGTTTTGCTTCACGTGGTGCTTGGCTGTAGTTGCATTGGAAGATCTGAACTCATGTGATAAACTTAAGTTCGGGGACAAAAGTTCGTATGTGTGACGGATGACGATGCAGTATGTTGCTTCATGCAGCACTTGAGTCAACACCACAGCGTCGGGCAACAACTCACAAATGATCCCCTTGAGAAGAGACTCACAATGAACACTACTCGTTCCTGGTGGATAGCCCTGGATACGATGAAAGAGCTAGAGGTTTGTCTAAATAAGCTGACTGCGGAGTATCCAGAAATAGTCGAAATTGGGCCGAACAGCAGAAAGGAGAGGAGAATAAGTTGGTGTTGAGGAGCCAACTAGGGCGAACGTCGGAGAGATTGCTGCTGGAATACTTCGAGAAGGAGATGAGGCCACTCTCATCTGCCCAACTCCTGATGGCGAACTGTTTCACCCGGACTGAGCGTCGGTCTTGCTTCACGTGGTGCTTGGCTGGAGTTGCATTGGAAGTTCTGAACTCATGTGATAAACTGAAGTTCGGGGACAAAAGTTCGTATGTGTGACGGATGACGATGCAGTATGTTGCTTCATGCAGCACTTGAGTCAACACCACAGCGTCGGGCAATAACTCACAAATGATCCCCTTGATAAGAGACTCACAATGAACACTACTCGTTCCTGGTGGATATCCCTGGATACGATGAAAGAGCTAGAGATTTGTCTAAATAAGCTGACTGGGGAGTATCCAGAAATAGTCGAAATTGGGTCGAACAGCAGAAAGGAGAGGAGAATAAGTTGGTGTTGAGGAGCCAACTAGGGCGAACGTCGGAGAGATTGCTGCTGGAATACTTCGAGAAGGAGATGAGGCCACTCTCATCTGCCCAACTCTTGATGGCGAACTGTTTCACCCGGACTGAGCGTCGGTCTTGCTTCACGTGGTGCTTGGCTGGAGTTGCATTGGAAGTTCTGAACTCATGTGATAAACTGAAGTTCGGGGACAAAAGTTCGTATGTGTGACGGATGACGATGCAGTATGTTGCTTCATGCAGCACTTGAGTCAACACCACAGCGTCGGGAAACAACTCACAATTGATCCCCTTTAGAAGGGACTCACAAAGAACACTACTCGTTCATGGTGAATAGCCTGGGATAGCCTGGGATGAAAGAACTAGAGAATTGTCTAAAGAAGCTGGACCGCAGAGTATCCAGAAAGCGTCGAAATTGGGTTACGCAGCAGAAAGCAGAGGTGAATAACTTGGAGTTGAGGAGCCGACGAGGGGCGAATGTGGGAGAAATTGCTGCTGGAGTACTTCGAAACGAGATGAGGCCATCCTCATGTTCCATAGCTCTGATGGCGAAACTTTTCAGCCGGACTGAGGGTCAGTTCTTATTCGCGTGGTACTTGACTGAAGTTGCATTGAAAGATCTGAGCTCATGTGACAACTTGAAGTACGGGACAATAGCCTGCATGTGTACCGGATCACGATGCAGTATGTCGCTTCATGCAGCATTTGATTCAACACCAGAGCGTCGGGCAAAAACTCACAAATGATCCCCTTGAGAAGAGACTCACAATGAACACTGCTCGTTCCTGGTGGATAGTCCAGGATACAATGAAAGAGCTAGAGAATTGTCTAAAGAAACTGGACCGCGGAGTATCCTGAAAGCCTCGAAATTGGGTCACGCAGCAGAAAACAGAGGTAAATAACTTGGAGTTTAGGAGCCAACTAGGGCGAATGTGCGAGAAATTACCGCTGGAGTACGCCGAAACAAGAAGAGGCCACCCTCATCTGCCCAAGTTCTGATGGCGAACATTTTCACCCAGACTAAGCTTCATTTATTGTTCACGTGGTGCTTGGCTGAAGTCGCATTGAAAGATCTGAACTCATGTGAAAAAATGAAGTACGGGGACAAAAGCCTGCATGTGTACCAGATAATGATGCAGTATGTTGTTTCATGCAGCACTTGAGTCAACACCAGAACGTCGGACAACAAATCACAGATGATCCCCTTGAGAAGAGATTCACGAGGAACACTACTCGTTCCTGGTGGATAGCCCTGGATACGATGAAAGAACTAGAAAATTGTCTAGAGAAGCTGGATCGCGGAGTATCCTGAAAGCCTCGAAACTCAAAAGTGGGTCACACAGCAGAAAGCAGAGGTAAATAACTTGGAGTTAGGGAGCCAACTAGAGTGAATCTGGTAGAAATTGCTGCTGGAGCACTTCGAGAACGAGATGCGGCCATACCTCATCTGCCCAACCTCTGATGGCGAACCCTTTCAGCCGGACTGAGGGTCATTTAATGTTCACGTAGTGCTTGGCCGAAGCTGCATTGAAAGATCTGAACTCATGTGACAAAATGAAGTTCGGGGACAAAAGCTTGTATGTGTACCGGATGATGATAAAGTATG